TATACAACACAAGGTTTTACAACACAATGTCACGATATATACTAATATGAAATTATAATTTAATTCAACACCCAGAGACACAAAGAGATAATTAATTCAGCTTCGATAGACAAAGAGAAGAGATTAACATGAATAACATATGAGGTTTATAAAACAGACCAACAATTAAAAGATGCTGTTGGGGAAATAACTTTATAATTCAATCCAGTTATGCTCAAAATCAAAATATACGAATTCATTAAAATTCAACTAATTATGTTTTACCCAATTTCCCCCATAGAGATAATCATCTATTATGTTGTATTCTATTGTTCTCTTTGTATCCATGTTCTCCTTTTGCTTTGTTTGGAAGGAGAAGTTTACATCAGCTTTGACAATCCTGAGGAGGGCCCATCATGATTTTAACTACACATGTTACGCTGCAACTTCACAGGATATGAACAGCTCTACTTATTCTGAGTTGTCTTCCAGCCCCCGGCCTCTAAACAAAGGTTGTTTCAACACTGTGTCTGATCAGAGGATGAGGAGGGTTTCTGGACGCGGCTTGATGTTTTACTAATACTATTGTACATGCTTGTTGCTATAAATGTTTTTGCATTAATAAATCGGCTTTGTTGTATTTTAAAAGCCTTTTGTTATCAGGATCTGGATGGACTTCTTAAGTGAAAGGCAGTGTATGGGTGTGTTTTTAGGGGTTCATTTTTTTTTTTTTTTTTTTTTTTTTTTTTTTTTTTTTTTTTTTTTTTTTTTTTTTTTTTTTTTTTTTTACATTCTGTGCATTAATAACCTCAAGGAATTTTATTCTGTAATTAACACCAAATAATGGTTGATTACATTTAAGGCTGGTTCAGGATTATTTATTCTATATTTATTTATATTTTAGAATCAATATTCACATTTGATACTGTAGGCCAATTAAAGAACTGATGTGACACCCTCACCACAAGGTCAATTAGAAGCTGGTTCTGGGCTTGCAATCATACCAATGGTTTATCAGCGATGGAGTTGATATGGAATCACTAATATATTTAAATGTAATTTTTTGAGGTCGATTTCTATTCAGGACTTTATTTTGGTCAAGTTGACAAAGGGGCTCCGACATCAAGGGTCCAAAAGCCTCAGGTTTATTCATGGGGCCATATTAGTATGTGGTATTGAATTTATTTGTTGTGTTTGCCCCACTAAAGCTCAATATGATGCAATATAAATGCCTAACTGACATTATCAAAAGGGGGCCCACAGTACAATTAAACATTTCAATTTTAAATGAGCAGGGATGTTGACCTTGGAAAACCAGTGTTACCCAAAAATGAATATTTTTTGGGCCGTTCATTGCTTCACAGCCTTCATCAAAAAATAAATGTATCCATCTTCTGTCCCAACTGAGGAGACAATGAATGGTTGAGCTCGAAAATGAAGTTGAATTATTATTGAGTTATTACTTTACTAGCCCTTGTGGTGACCTAAATATATCATGCTATATGACAAAATGATATAATCGCCACTTTAAAGACGACATGATGATTATTTGCATTATTGATTAATGTTTTTTTCACTCATTCCGATGAATTAATTCAACTAAAAATTACTGTTGAAGTACTCGTTGTTTTGTTTGACCTTTCTATCAGGGACCAGCGTTAATTTTCAGCAGTGTCAGGCTACAGTGTTGTCTGTTGATCGGGCACACACTGGCCACTTCACTCCAATGTAGTGGCTTGGCATCATGACCTGTCTCGGTTCTTTCTTCCTTGGTCCTGACCACTGCAGACTGGGAACACCACAAGAGCTGCACCCACACACCTGTTTTGGATGATGCTCTGACCAGTTGTATTGCCATCATAATTTAGCCTTGTCAAAGTTGCCTAAAATACTTACGCTGCCATTTTCCTGTTTCTAACCACATTAACTTGCTGACAAATGTCGTTGTGACCTAATATATCCCCACGGACAGGAGCATGAATATATTCACTCTTGTCGTGGTCAGACTGTATTATCGCTGTTATAGGTGATCGGTGTATATTCCAGTTTGTTCCATACCCATTTTTTTAAGTTGATTCATATCATTATAAAATGTAACCCAAGCCCAAAATTAATTGGGCTACCATTTGTATCATATATTGATATAACATTTTTTTAACAGCATTGAATTTTGAGGTACATGTATGTAATAAGTTGCTTTAATGGAATAAAAACTGTAAGTTCAAATTGAAGTGGTAACACATTTTAAATAGTTTGGACAAGTGTGCATTTGAATGTAATTAGGCCTACCTTATTAATTTTAATAAATTAACTTTAATTTACTTTCAATAAAACATAAACAGTTACTTGTACTCAAATAATATTTTTTTAATGCTTAATTGTTGGAGTTAATATATTTGAACTAACCTCAGGGTTTTCCAGTGTGACCTAACAATGCATAAAAAGTGTGGAGGTCACAGGTTCAGGGGGAGGGGGTGATCCGCCTGTCAGACAGAGGACTTGTTCTATGACAATGTTTAACTCTTGGACTGATTGTGCTCTTAAGTAATTAGCCCGTTAGAGACATATTAGTAATAAGCGCACTAAATGTTGATTGAACGCTAGAAACACAAGCAGGCGTCACCAACACAGCGACCGGGCGATCCCGACGATTGCCCGCGCACGTCAGTGCGTCTGCGGGGGGCGGGAGCAGGGAAAATCGAGCCCGTGCTGCTCTATTCCTCCCCCTCTCTGTCACAACAGATTGCTGCTGCTGGGTCAGTGTTATTAATAATAAAAGAGTCAAAAAGCCACAGCGAGCAGAAATAGGGGGTGGAAATCTACATACTTTCTCCTTCTGTCAATCAGCACGGAATCAACCAGCGCGAAAACACAATGTGACAACCGCTTCAACTTTTCGACAACGCATTTCTTCCTCCTTTTTATTCGTCTTTTTTTTTTTTTTATATAGGAGCTATTGTGGTGGTTCCCTTTCCAGCTGCTGGCCGTCACTGGCTCTGTCAGCACTGCGTATTGCGGTCATCATCTGTCGGGCGGTGCGGCTTGATTGTAACACGAATCGGTCCCGCCGGCAAGGTCCTCTGGTGCACTTGTAATCTCCT